ACTTATTCCGTCAAGATCCGGCCCAGCCGCAGCTATCGGGGGGAAGTCGGGAGAGGAGCTTTCTTCCTTCCTTCCTCATCATCTGTCCACATGATATTTCACTTGGAAATCGAAGGTGTATTCATTATCGCAAATGCATCGCTGTGGAGGGATGATGGAGAGCGAGGATGTGGGTAAGGCTCTCTAATCAGTGGCAGTGAAGGAGATGGGAGGCTACAAGCATTCTTATGATACAGTATTGCCTTTTTTTGGTAGCAATGAGAGATGTGTGCACACACACACGGTGTTTCCGCAATTCCTCTCCACCTTCTTCCACTCCGTCGTGCCACCCAGAATGGGGGTTGTGAAGAAGAAGAAGAAGAAGAAGAAAAAAAAGGTTTATCTGTTTGTTTCAAAGTATTAGTGAAGGTCCGATTATTTTTTTATTTTTTTTCCAGTCCCTTCTCCTTGATTGGCTTGCCTCCGATCTCACGACTCCTCCGATCGCCTTACTCTTGTTGCACGAATGAGGGAGAGGGAGATAGGTTCGTCAGAGGGTTTGAAAATGTACCGTAGTGTTAGCATGAAGTGAGGTGAGGTTGAAGTGACTGAGTGACTGAGTGGGTGACAGAGTGACGAAGCTTTCTTTCTTAATTCACTCTTTTTCCCTTCTTCATCGACCATCTCTTCCTCTTCCCTTCTATCACAACAATCACCTCCTCCTCCTCTTCCTCCTCCTCCTCCTTCCCCACCCTCTCTACCGCACCACACCCTCTCCCCCAAAACCTTAAGGGAAACCTTACTGTTTTGTTTTTGCTCATCTACCGTACCCACCTTTCCCTCCGTCCGCTCTCTTACGTCTGTTAGCATCCATCGCTTCCTTTCACGCTATCCGCTTCAGGGCAACGCCCCCAGCCCAACCAATAAAGTCCAGATCCTAGACCCTAGCACATTCTCCCATCCGTTGTACTTTTAGCTCCCCACCCCCCCCCACCGCAACAGCAATCATACATCTCCCCCCTTGAAAATCATCTCGGACAAAATTGTACCACCACCCTCATCCGGCTGCACCGACTATTTCTTGCTTCTTTACCTCGACTCATCTCCCATCTCGACAAACACTCAATCCTTCTGAAAGTTTTAACGCTACTTAGGGACACGCTACCTAGCACACAGCCATCCAAACGGACAACAACAACAACACCAACAACAACGACAGCAACATGTCGCTCGAAGCTGCTCTGGAAGAGGAGCGTCTCGAAATCCTAAAGCTCCTCGAGAGGCCCGCCGGTAAATCGTCGCATCAACATCCTACCGGTGTTCATTCTACTCCTTCTTCACCTCGCATTCAGTTCGCCCCGCTTCTCCCCCCACTAAATAGCCGAACCTCTTCCCCGAGCCGCGCTCCCATACATTCCCTTATAGCTGCTGCACAGGATTCTCCTCCGGATCGATCCTCGATCGATACGGCGGGAGCGCCAAGTCCACGAAGCTCGACCGGACATCTTGCTTGGTCCAACTCTAATGGCACACCTCATCGGAATTCCATGTCCTCCTTGAATGGCGCCCCGAAATTGCTACGGGATCGCGATAAGCATGGAAACCTTACCCCCAATGATGCCTACAATTTTTCTGTCCTCCCTTCAGTTCCCCCACCCGCCCCGAAGCGAGCCACTCAAGCTTCTTGGAATGACCCTGCTCCGCCCTCTTCACATCACGGCAGCCTCGGGTCTCCGGGGAGGCGGTCGCTTTCGCCCATCTCAAACGCCGCATTACATCACATGCAGAGATCTACATCCCCGCGAGCCTCTTCTGGACGACTGGCCTCTCCTCCCCCGGTTGCTCGTAACCAGATCTCTAACCAAATAACCAACGATGCTGGTGTCCCGCTTGATTTGGAACATGCCTATACCAAGCTCTCGGATGACGCACTCGCGGGATCAGGGGGTGTTTTGACAATGTTACCGGAGCGCAGGCCAATTACGACTTTTGAGGGGGAGCACGTCCGCGCTGGCACTGGGGAGTCGTTAACGAGCGAGGGGGGTGTGAGACTGCAGAAGGACTACGGTGATGTCGATGAACGTGCAGTGATCGATTCCTCCGATGAAGACGAGACTAGTAGTGCCGAGGAAAGCGTTGGATCAAATTCGCCTGTGAGCGAGGGAGAAGAGAGGAGAGGGAGGGCCGCTGCGCGCAGGAATGGTTCCGGGTCCAGCAGTAAAGGTAGCACTGCAGGAACGGAGGGGGCAGTAGAGAAAGGTCCAGGTATGATCAAGAGTATGATCAGGATTGTGGGCGATTCCGGTGGAGGCGGAAGTAAGAAAAAAAAGAAAGGAGGTGGAATAGACGCCAGGAAGGGCACCATTAGTATGCGGAGGACAAGCATGAGTTTACTGGCCGCTGCGGAGGAAGAACGTATGTACACCTGCCTACATTCTAGGGTGGCTCTGACTTTTCCGATAGGGAAGGCTGTAAGTGCTAGGTATAGCGTTCGCTCCCTCTTGCCCTCGATATCGATTACCCCATCGGGTGGCGTCCCTGGAGCAACATCTCCTACAACAAATAGACGGCCGGGTGTGCATCCTTCTACAAATTTTGACCTACCGTCGCATAACTCTACGCCAATGTCCTCGGATACAGAAGCGGACGTCCGCGATCTGCATCGTGCCCAACGAATGGAGATGAGCTTCTCCCCTATCATTTCTACACCCGAGACTCAACGTGTCGTCAGGACAATTCTGCGTGGGGAGTACGAGTCGATAGTTAAGGAAGCCGAGGAAGGTAATAAGCGGGTGCGAAAGTATCTTGTTGCTACGGATTTGAGTGGGGAGGCCCAGCATGCCCTGGAGTGGACAATCGGGACAGTTCTTAGAGACGGCGATACTCTGATGGCCATATACGCCATCGATCAGGATACGGTGGAAGATGGCGGAAAGATTGTTCCGGATGACAGGATAGCGGGAGAATTGAGCAGCCAGGCCGCCGCCGTGGGGACTAGCCTTGCGGCTGTGAACATGCCTCGTACGCCCGGAACGGCATCTCCGTTATCCAACTTTGGGGATATTTCGGAGAGGAGTAGGGAACGCACGAAGGCTGAGGAGGAACGGTACGTTGCGGCAGAGGCGATCACTAGACTGGTGGAAAAGCTTTTGAAGAAAACGAGGCTGCAGGTCAAGGTCACTGTAGAGGTGATTCACTGCAAGAGTCCGAAACACCTTCTCACTGAAATCGTATGTTGTAATTTATTTCTCAACATATGATTGCCTAACTAACATGATGTAGATCGACTTCATGGAACCTACGCTAGTGGTCCTTGGTTCCCGCGGTAGAAGTGCACTAAAGGGGTAGGTGCCCTGAGTTAAATTTTGTTTGTATTGTATTATAAACTAATCCATCGCTTAGTGTCCTTCTGGGATCTTTCTCGAATTACCTGGTCACCAAATCCTCTGTCCCTGTCATGGTTGCCCGGAAAAAACTCAAGCATACTAAAAAGTTTGCCAAAACCAACGTCCGGCAGCCCAATAACCTCACGACAAGCGCTCAGGCAGGCCGCCTCGCCGGTGCGAAGGTGGACTAATTACCATGACCAACTCATCGGAGGGTTAGTGATGGGAAGTCTAAGCTTGAGAAAATAGGGCGTTCTCAATGGATTTCATTTTTTTCTCTCTCTTTTCTCCACACCAATTGTCATCATCATAGAGGATAACAAGTCATAGGTTCTCACTCGTGTAAATAAATTATGCTATTAACTGTATTAATGACCACTCTCACTCTCTCTTATTGTTCCTTCGTCTCCTCAAATGTGCTTGTTATTTACTCTCCAATTTTTCTTCCCCCCTTCGAACGGCGTTGTTACTACCATCACGGACGTGCTCCGCCCATGGAATATCATCACTGCCTGTGTTGTCGCCGGAGTTGCGGGAGTATTCGATCGGGTCGTAGGTGATTTGTATGCGCGCTTCAGGGACAGGCGCGGGTGCGGGTGAGCGGCGGGTATAGAGGTGGAGGTGGAGGTGTGCGCAGAGGGCGCGGAGGAGAGTTGTTAGGCGGGTGCAGGGAGACATGGTTGGAGTGGGTTGGGTGGTTGGAGGGCGGTAGGCGAAGAGGGGGGAGAGAGTGGTAAAGATCGTGATGCGCGGACAGATAGGAAAGAGGCTAGCAGTAGCTTGATTGCGTTGCTATGAGGAATTGTTGGCGCTTCGGAAAGTTGGCTGGTATCAGTGGGGCAAAAAGACTCCTGGGGAGCATTTGATGCCGAACACTTCTCGGTGCCTGAGACTGCGGTTAAAGGCGAGCACTGCACCGAGCCCTGACCACACATCTGGCCGGGGTATACTACGATATACCATGCTAGCTATGCAGCCTACGCTGGGTTGAATGGGGTTGGTGGGTTTAGGGCATCGGTGGTCGTCAGCATAGAACGATAGCGAGGGTAGGTTACTGTGGTGGGAGAAAGTGGACATACTATTGCATAGAGATGATAAACTGCTAGACTATTGAGATGTAAATCGTTATTCGGATGGGGTGGTAGGAAGGGCGTGTATTATCATACTTATTCGTTTTAGAAATAGCTGGATGAGTGGCTGTGGTGACTTATTTGCATTATAGCTATGATATTACCGGGTTCCCGAAAGAGGATTGCTATCATTCTTATGATGAAACTATGTGAAGAGGATTCTCTTTGCCTGATAGATATTCATTAACTCTGGGTTTTATTTTCCTTGCTCGAGTACTTTTTTTTTTTTTTTTGGTATGAGATTTAATACCTGCTGGGGATTAACGGCCTGGTCGTGAATTTGGGTTTTAGTAGATGGAAGGATCTTAGGCCTCTTGGCTGGTATTATATTATATTCTATCCCGTTGGTAGTGTAAGCGTTAGAGGCAATTAGCCCTGGTGTTGAAAAAGCGTTTTTTTGAGTGAAGATGTGTTGCATATCATCATGGTACAAAAAAAAGACCTTATATTATCATGTCAACCCACTTGACACATGACAAGAGAATAAAAAATAAAAGGGAGGGCTGGCCTGATGCGGGGTCGAACTCGCGACATTGAGATGTTCTTCACAAGATTTGATTTCCCCGTAAAAGTCATACGCTCACCACTGGGCTAACCAGGCCGATCGATGTATGACAAGAAATCTTTTGCATTCATCATTCACAAAACATATCGTAAGAACTCGGATAATTGAACCTGGCGCTAAAGAAGTCCAAAATTTCATCTCTTGGACAGGGGGGGAGGAGGGGGGGGGAAGTGAGCGCTTCAGCCTAAACTTAAGACAAAAGAAAGGGGATAGCAAAAAAGAGATCCGGACTTTATAATACCAGTAGAAGTCAACTCCGACGTCCTTAGGGAGGGGAACAGGGTTCGATTACGATATTTGAGTTTCTTATAGTACCGTGCTTCACGGGGCAATGATCGACCTGCGTAAAAAACAAAAGAAGAAAAAAGATAAGAAAGAGAAAAAGGACCAGGACAAAGGTCTATATACATATTTTACCGGTTATTAGTCAATGCACATGACCCTTTGATTGGGTTTCTGAAATAACAGTAGGCACCCTGTCTGTTAAAAGTAACATTGACTCGCGTTCGGTACAAATCCTGGCCTGGCTGCACAGCATTTAGGCTTGCCGAACAGATTGTTAAAAAAATGTAAAAAAAAAACCACTCATTACTTGCTAGTATGCCCCAAACTTGTAAAAGGCCTCTAGTTCAATGCCGCCGTTGTGGTCCCCACCCCACCCTACAGTCGGCACGATACAGTACCGGTACTATACCGAAGTTAGCTGGTCCCACACGATCGTTCACACATCCAGTACTGTAGTTCGCCAGGTGGAACGGCTACTCCCCGCCCATTCCATCTATTGGTAGGACATATGCTCGTATGCTATCTCTGGATAGGCAAGACACTGTAGATTCCATCCCGTCTCTATAAGTTTCTAGGATGCTGATGACTGCCGGATGACTGAAGTGGGATTAACCCTCTATCATACCTCAGTATCATATTATCGGGTTCTTCAATGGTCATCAACTTATCGTTCAGGCTAATGTCCCTTATTCTGTGTAGGGACTCCGCGGCTTTTTTTTATATTCAGCACAGTTAGGCTCAGGTCTTTACCAAAGGTACAGTACAGTACAATGTCCAGGGAGCTCTTTCTGTGACCTGACCAAGGGAAAACATCTGCATGATTGGCATACTTCAACTATTCCTAATCTCGGAATATCCTAAGGAGCCAAAACGCGGCGAATATGAAGGGTACAAGTATTTGTATCTGCGTAGTTGTGGTCGTATGATGTTGGGTTAGTTATGGCCAGAGATTGCACATGCAGGGTTCTTAATAATCCGACCGGTCAAGTCTTGGAAGCAGGACCAGGCTGACGAGTCTTCATAAAAGACTGAATAGTCATGTAATATCACTCACATACCGCACGGAAAGAATTTGATACTTCTGAATCTATTTTTCGCTTCCCCTAATCTAAGCAAGGCGCTATCTCTTCTCCAATTCTCCCAAGATTCTACAGTATAATTGATCGAAACAATGAGGTTAATTAAGAAAAGCTTTATCTGAACATAATATATTGTGATAAAAATGGTAAAACGCTAAAGATGATGCTAATTCGGTCAAAGGGCCGTTGCAAATCTTATTGCTTGGTAGATTTGGTCGGACCAATCCCGGTCGAATCAGGTCTGATAATCCTGACTGTTCAGTCGGTCTAATTTCCACTATTAGACTAGACTTGACTTTCGGCCAGAGTAGCTGGGCCTTCCAGTCTTCCGCGGACTACTGAGAACCCTGAACAGTAGTGGTAGATATGTAGTGGGAATGCTAAAGGAGCGTAATGAAAGCACAAACGAAGAAAAAACCTAAGTGCGATCACAATAGGCTCTAAGCGCCGCAAGGCAGGATAGAGGAACAGTGACTAGTTGGCTCTCCTCTCTCTAGCTACGGAAGTGCCAGGATATATACATCCCTCCTTCTAACCTAAAACCTCCTCATGATCCTCCGTGATCCCTAAAACCAATATCCGGCCGCATAGGGTGTGAAATAAACCATGGAAGCAAATCCGCAATCTCCTATGGCAAAAAACGTCAACCAAACCATGAAAGAGAAACCCTATGCCAGCCGGCATAGGGTGTGGGAACAACAACCCACTGCTAAGTGCCTAATGGCCACAACCCAGAATGCCCTAGGGCCGTCAATCCCCTAGCCGCATGCCCCCAAGCCAGCATATCCGTATATCCGTCCAACTGCCTAACCGCATGGCCCGTAGGCGATTCAAAAAAAGCTTCTGCCATCTGTGCGGGAAAGCTTACTATACCTGAACTTGAAACCCGCGATATTATCATTTCCTGGGACTTTTGTGGTTTCCGCCGGAAAATAGTTTTGCAGTGTTTGCCACCGAGGGCATATAGATGTATAATGGCTGGGGCTATTCTGGTGGCACTGGGGAGTTTTCATTGATCGCTAGTAGGCTGGTGTCTGCGAGATTTGTGTGATCGGCTAGGATTAATAATAGACACTGGTGTCCAGTACATGATGCCTGTGGCAATAGTGGGCATATGGAGGTACAGGTCCTAAGTTTGTAGGTTCTACTGGGTGCGAAGGTTGCAGACCTTGCTTGTGGAACCTACAAAACTTCAGACCTGTACATACCTCGGTAAGAGTGACACCGGTTTCCCAGGCTGCATCGCCCTATTGGAATATTCTTGGCGCTTAAGATTAGCTGAACTTACAGCCCTGTTTCAACAGACCCCCCGCGCTTCTTCCTCTCCCAGGAGCATCATCAATCAAGTATACTCAGCAACTCCTCCTCTTCAACGAAGCAAGCGATAAAGAGTCGAAAATGTCCCAAAATACCTTCCATAATAGCACCAACTGCCAAAATACTACAAACTCTTATAACACTACTACTACTAGTAATGTGCGGAACAACTGTACTGTTGCCGATGATCTCACTCCACTCTTAACGTGGCTATCACCCCTGGATCCCGGCTTACGACATTGCGACATTCAAGAGCGCCGTGTCAGCAATGTTGGGGAATGGCTTATGGAGACTGAGGAATTTAGAAGATGGTGTGGATGGGAGGGGGAAGGTGACGGCCATGAGGCAGTTCTGTTTTATTATGGAAATCCAGGGGTCGGAAAGACATTTATTAGGTAACAGGGGTTGTTTTCTAGAGAGAGAAGTGAACTCGTGCTAACAAGCTGCAATGATAGTTCGCTGGTAGTGGACCGGCTGTGCGATTGGACTAGAGGACAACAGATTGCCGTTACCTGCTTTTACTTCGACTTTACGGTGCGAAGGGAGCAGACTGCCGCTGGTGTGCTGGGTTCCCTGCTTAAGCAGGTAATCAGTAGAATGGAAAGGGTTCCTGGGGAAATATGGCGGGCCTTGCAAGAGCAGAACAAGGCAATTAGTGGACGCAGGCTGCAACTCAGTGACATCTTGAAGACGATGCAGCTCATCACATCCTTACAGCACACTCTAATGATCGTTGATGGCCTGGACGAATGTACGGCTGTACAGCGGTTTAAACTTCTTGATTCATTCAAAGAAATCCTCATGACGTCCCCGGGCACCCGAATATTCATGACCGGAAGGCCCTATATTTGCCCCGAGATTGAAACACGTCTCGCCGGACGAGTGACAAGTATATCGTTAAGCCCTCCTAGAGACGATATCATCAGATTCCTTCGTGTCAGACTAAGCGAGGATGAAACACCTGATGCCATGGACAAGAATCTAGAGGTAGAAATTCTGGAGAAGATTCCCGGAAGTATATCAGAAATGTCTGTAGCAGCCATGATGCTCAGAACCCAATCCCGCATTACCGGCTAATATGTATATTTAGGTTTCTACTCGCTTCCTTAAATGTCGAAGCAATCTTGCAAGAATCGACAATACACCGGAGACGAGAAAGACTCCGCAACATGACAGATGGGCTGGGGTTAGAGGATGTCTATGGAGTAGCAATCGAACGGATAAAAGCTCAGGGTGGGCATAAATGGAAACTTGGGATGGGGGCTTTGATGTGGATTAGTTATGCAGAACGGCCATTGAGCCCAGATGAACTCTGCCATGCCCTAGCAATCGAGTTAGGCTCTACAGATTTCAATGGTGGCAATATACTATCGATATCTACTTTAGTGAGCTGCTGTCAAGGGCTTATTACTGTCGATAAGGAGGCATCAAATGTGCGACTGATTCATTTAACTCTCAAAGAGTATTTTTCCGCCAATCCCGGTATTTTCAGTAGACCTCACGCGGCAATAGCAGAGATATGCTTGACATATCTGAATTCCCCGCAGGTCAAGGCTCTTTCAGCGGATTCCTATGCCGATTGCAATGGCGTTGTTCATGAGACGCCCCTTTTAAGATATTGTTCATTATACTGGGGGGTGCACGCGAAAAAGGAACCCTCGGACCATTCAAGATCACTCGCCTGGGAGCTGCTTCAGGAATATGATGGCCACATATCCGGGCAATTTCTTGTAAGAGAAGGGTGCTCTGAGCGATATTTAGAGCATTCTGAAACCTTGTCCGTGTTCAGTGGACTACACTGCGCCTCATTTCTCGGAATTTTTGAGGTGGTAGTCGCTTTGATCAACATGGGATGTGGCGATCTGAACGGGGAGGATTTCCGGGGGTGCACTCCACTCACATGGGCTGCCCATAATGGATATGAGGAGGTGGTGAAAATTCTACTTGAGCGGGAAGAGGTCAACCCCGACAAGCCAGATAATGATGGCCGAACACCGCTGTGGTATGCCGCACTGAATGGAAATGAGGGTGTGGTCAAAATACTGCTCGGGCGAGAAGAGGTTGACCCGGACAAGCCCGATAAATACGGCCGAGCACCGCTCGCGCATGCTGCTAGTAAAGGACATGAGGGAGTGGTGAAAATACTACTCGAGCGGGAAGAGGTCAACCCCGACAAGCCAGACAATGGCGGTGAAACACCGTTCTCGCATGCCTTAGGCCGTGGACATGATGGAGTGATAGCACTGCTTGATCAGTGGGAGCCAACCCCGACTGGCCGAAAAAAAAGACGGCTAAACCCCGCTGATTCTCTCAGCTCCTTATGGCTATGAGCGGGTGATTGCGCTGCTAAAATTT